CGGCATTCGAGCCTGAAGGTTTTTCAGGTATAGGTGGTCTGCTCCTTGACTCTCAAGGAATGTGCATCGGATGTTTCAGCGAAGTCGTTGGCCCATACCTCCTTGCCACGATCATGAGACCAGACCAGAAAACCTCAATCATGGAGCTCGAAGCCCTTGCAATTTATGTTGCCCTTGATCTGTTCAAAGACTTGATCAGAGGCACCAGACTTGTGGTGTTTCACGGACAACCAAAGCGCGCAAGCGTCAGTAGTGAAGTGCAGATCCAGCAACCAGCATGTTGACCTCATCATCAAAGGTATTTGTTCGGTTGAGGAAGACTTGAGCATGCTTTGCTGGGTTGAAAGGGTGCCCAGCTACTCCAACCCTGCTGACACTCTGTCTAGGGAAGAAGTCAAATGCTACGAAGGAGTTAGTCGCTCAAGGGTCGGCTTGTTGGATGCCTGGAAACGTTGCCAGTCGGAAATCAGCCCAAGCCTCCATATTGGGGGAGGACGCGAGGCAAACCAATAAAGCTGATTCCCCAGAGTCAAGAAAAACAGGAGTGTGCTGCGCAGCATTGATCTTGTACATGTGCATTTGTTTTGGAGCCATCTTGAAACAGGAAATAAGATGAAACTCAAACTCGTTTGATGTAATATTATTTCCCAATAAAGATGGCTAGTACTATATTTATAGTATGTCCAAAACAAATGTATGCAATTTGAATGTTGAGACGTTTGTGGAAGATCATGTACGTTTGCAGTGCTGCCCAAGTGAGCACACCTCCCCCACGTTCACGTTCATTTTCGTCCCATCCCGCATTCTGTTCTCCCTCCTTTATGGTATCATATGAACATGTCACGTGACATGATGTGTCCACATCCCATGCGTTCTGTATTTCATTTTCTCTCACCACACCAGTTCATCAAGAGCATGTCATGTGACAAGCTGTTATATACTCAAGTTTTGGCTTTAGCCTCAGCGCGCAACAATAACAACTATGCAGGTATGCATTTTCAAATTTCGTTGCTCCAATATCCATATCATGTGACCATTGTTTCTTCTTTCTGTCACCAGTTTTTGCCACGCTCCTCAGTGGCAATGTCAGCGGCTGCGTCGTCTTTTCAGACATTGTTGGCGACTTGGGAAGCCATCATCGAATTCCGTCCCAACTTGAATCAGTGCAGGCAATCTGTGCAGCTTTTGTCCCAAGCAGTACCCAATGTCCTTCCCGCTGCACGTGAGTGGATCGTGATGGCCAATCAACTCCTTGATCGCATCGAACCTGAGTTGCAACGCACAGAACACCAACTCCTGTGCGTACTTCAGCTGCAATTGCAGCATGCCTTGGATCAGATTGGCCACCTCCCACAACTGGATGCAGACTGACTTTGTTTTTCGCTGTGTGGGCAACAGTGCCTACCCATCCGTGCGGACGCGAGGCAAACCAATAAAGCTGATTCCCCAGAGTCAAGAAAAACAGGAGTGTGCTGCGCAGCATTGATCTTGTACATGTGCATTTGTTTTGGAGCCATCTTGAAACAGGAAAAAAATGCTGAACCAAAAAACTGGCCTCAGAAAAAAAATTGACACAATAGTGGAACCCCCAAACATTACCACTGATCCAGAATTATTTTGGGAAAACTTGACACAATAGTGAATCCTGATACTACTCGGCGTCGAACATTACTCGCTTGCTCTTCGAACACTGCTATTGTTGACAATATCGCTGCTTCCGGGTTATCCCTTTAAAAAAATGTTGGAGGCTAGGGTCCAAAAAAAATTGAAAAGGATCTATATAACCCTTTTGGAACCTTGTGAGAACCTCTAGACTTGTTGTCTAACAAACATCTTTGTAGATTCTGGGATTCTTAATTCTTGCATAGAAACGCATTTCGTTCTATTATGATTTCCGCCTTCATTTGCCTCTGATTTGTCCCCCAGATCTCTCTCACTTGTCCCCCTTTTCTTGTGCCTACTAATTCCTTGTCCCTCTGCTAAATGCTACCCCCCGCCACAATAAAACACCTAGGAGATCCTAGGAGTAGTTTTTCTTATTAGTGGGTATTTATGGGTATTTAGTATTAGGGTGAGAATTTTCCTCCTAATAAAGTCAAAACTTTAATTAAAAAGCAAAAAATGGTTCCAACATCGATCAAATACCTTATTCGAATCAATATTAGATATCAACAATATAGCAAAAAATGGTTTTCGATGCTCTCTGCTAATCAAAAACATCAACAACGTGGTTAAAAAATTGAGTTCAAATCGATTAAATCCTTATTAAAACCAATGTAAAATATGGCCCAAAAATGGGATTTTGAAACTTTGACATGATAATGAAATCAAAACCTTTCTTAAGAAAAGACTAACACATTCGATTTTGAAAACGGACGACAATTTCATTTGTTCAAACCCTAGGATTTGTCCAGTTCAGGGGCCCTGTTGGCATGTGAACGCTCTAATATATAGTCAAGAGCAAAA